GGTCCACGCGCGGAGGATCGGCTCCCTGACCCCGGGCCAGCCACATCTCCGGAGGCGGCTGGAGTTGTTTCAGGCTACCAAAGGTTGCTGGAGTTATTTCAGCTACCGGCCAGAGAAGTGCCAGCCACGCACCAGCAGCTGGAGGTAAAACAGGAGCCACTCTGTCGGCTCTATGATGGCTGGGCTGTCCTTCTGCTGCTTGCTCCTTGGACTTCAGGGTCACGTGGAGAGGATAAGGTGATTATTGCGGTCCGCCCTGCATTTCCATTGTGAGACAGATTATCAATTGTGTGTTTCAGCTAGTAAAACTAAAAGCCTCAGGTTCAGTTTAACTGCCTGAATTGAAAGAGAAACTGGCAGAGTGGAGGTTTTATACTCGTGGTGTTTGCACCAGAAATGCCATCAGTGTTCAGAACATGCTGTGTCAGAGGCAGAGCGCAAGCTGCCCCCACACAGTTCTGCACGCTCAGCCCTGGCTTGCCACAGCCCTTTTTTCAGTCTCAGGGCTCAACAGAGCACCTAGTCCTGACCTAATGTGTCACCAGCCCTTGCTGGCTACACCCTCTTCTGGGGAGCGTGCCAATCACAACGAGTCGCTCCATTCGGTGACACTTCTGCATTTGGGAAAATGTCACCCAGCTGAGATTATCAAATTAATTCATGTATAACATATGCCTCACTTGAGCAGCTGAAGACTGGTTCTTTAGTCTTACAATTCCACTTGTCTCTGCCATGTCTTCCTGTTCCTGTCCCACCAGACTGTCTGTGCAGCAAGTTATTTCTGCCTACCATTACAGCAGATCTCACAAATTTGTTACCATACCAAAGTGGAACTCTGCTGTGAAAACTGACTCCGTAAAATAAACAGACAAATAAAATATCATCCCAGAGTTCTGTCTTCATGAAGTGTAAGTGCCCAGGTAACAAGTCAAGGGATGGACTCAGCCCATGGCTACTTCTGCACACGCAGCCCAGACACTAAGAATTAACGAAGATATGCAGGTCAAATAGCGCTCGTTATTTCAAACGTGCAACCTGGTTAGCCAGACTTTAAATTGCTACCCTTTTATTTTGCTCACTGATTATTTTGCATTGTATCTGAGATCAGTCGGGAAGAAGAGAAAGACTTTGAGCAGGAGCCTGAAGTAACACATGACAGAACTGTTGGATGTTTTAATGTCTGGGGGATTTAGTCCCTTATCTCTGATGCCAGCTGGGGAGAACAAAAGACTTTTCTTGGCATTAGATGAAAATTAAAACATCACTTATAAGCAGTAACGGTCAAGCTGAAATAGGTTCAGAGTTCAGCCTGAGCTTTGATTAAGTATCCAGAAATACCAATGCTTCTTCAAGTGATCTGAACCTCTTGGTAACGAACGGGGCAGGGAGGGCACCCTCCTTCTCCAGCATTCTCCATTGTTCCCTGGGCACAGGAGGATAGTGAAACGTGGCCACTTTCCTTCCGTTTCTATTCAGAAACCATTCAGAGAGGCTCTTATTTTAATGGCTGAGGAGCAGAAATGTAAAATAGTAAACATACTACGCAAACTCAACTTTTCTAAATTTCTAGAAAGGCTTAGGTTCCGTGAGGGTGACAGTTTGGTGTGCTCTTTATCTTCTTCAAATATTTCCCCTTGCCTGAATTCCAAGCGATCGGTTCCACTGTGCACGCCAGTGCTTGCGGTTCAGCGCACGTCCCAGCTGCCTCCCCTCCCTGCCCTATCCGCGCCGTGCGGAACTCACTGCTTTGTGTTCACACGGGTGTTGTCAGGACATCTTAGACCTCCAGGGCCAAATTCATGCCGTACGCAACTTTGAGGGAAATGGAGAGAATGGCATCAGAGCAAGATCTGATCCCTGTTGCATCACACGGTTTTGTATCCTGTTGAGTTCCGCTTTTATTACAGTCTGTGTGGCAGGGCTGTAATTTGAAACGGAAGCAGTGAACAACATTCGGCTTCACAGGGTTTGCTCACACATTGTTCTCAGAGAAATCCGGACAAATAGCCTGGAGGTAGGCGTTCTGCAGCCCTTGCCGACAGGCATTAGCTCCGGGGTCTTCCCTGGTTCCTCAAGGCACAGTTTCACGGCTTGCTGTCGGAGTCATCCACACCGGTTATTGCAGACTACCCCTGCGCTACGGCGGGATGAATCTTGCCCCCCCCACCACAAAAAAAAAGGATTAAAATGAGGGCTTGTGACAGGTGGTCCCCAAACCACAAGCCAGGGAAGACAAAGCCAATTCCACAGAGAATGTCTGAGCGGCACACGGTCTGCCAGCAAATTCAACGCAGCAAGAAGTGACTGATGGCATATAAGGTTTCTCTCAAGTGTCAGAGCAACTGCAGAACTGCCAAACAGATCACAACTTGTGTCTGCAGAATGTAAGAAGGTGTCAAGAGAGACAATCACAGGAGACACCAAAGTAATTTCAAGAAAGAAACAAGCAGTAACCAAAAAGCACTATGAAGACTTGTACCAAGAAACAGAAGAATGAGTCTTGCAATGGACATCTAAATCACCACTGAATTTAATCTCCAGTACAGTGCCTACAGTCTAAGGACAGCAGTGGGACTGACCTGTTCTAGGTCAGCCATCATGCACCTTAACAGGCTTCTGAGCACCCTTAGGTGATGCGGTGTTTTTGAAAGGATTGCTTCTTTGCCGGTTTGCATAGTTTCTGCGTCTCTGTCTGCCTTTCTCTGGGACTGGCTGAAATCTGGAACCTACAGCTATTGTGTCCCAGACCCCCAGTTACTACATCACCTTGCTGCTGCAGAAATTTTAAAAGGAAAACGTTTTAGAAAGGCATCTATGTTATCCCATCTTCTTTTCTTAACATAACTGGGAAGGATGTGTTCCTGCATGAAATTATCTAGTAATTTTCTTGTCTTTATTTTCAGTGTTTCAAGTATTCTTAGGGGAAGCACTGCCAGACTTCCAACATATTGTTATGGTTATCACCTTGATAAATATAACCCTATCCTGTCTGCTTACCCCTCTCTTTGAGTCTTCCCTGCTGACTCCTTATTCTCTTTCCTGTCAAGTATGTCCCTTTTCTTTATTTTCAGCACCTCCACAGCCTTCTCCTCAACCAGTTTCCAAAATCTTCAAGACTACTCTTCACCTTTTCTACCACCTCTCAATCGCTATGAAAATGTTCATTCCAATACCCTGCTAGTGCACAGAAAGCCTCCAGCTTGTTAAAACTTCCGTGAAGCCCCTATGGTCCTTCCGCACTTTCCAACGCCCTGTTGGAATGAAGGTCCTCGTAACTAAGTACTCGCAAAGCTCGCTCCTCCTCACAGACACGCTCTGCTGTGCTCGACTCGCAACACATCGGCAGCTGGAGCTCAGAAGCGAGCTGACCTCACTGCTGATCGGCAGCCCCATGGTTTCATTGTACGTCTCCTCAGTCAGAACGCCTCACATGAAGACTATCACCAAGTTAGGGCAGAAACTCATTCCGCATTATTTTATACAGCACCTCGCGCAGCTTCCTTGACTGACAGTGAAGTAATACACCCAGAGAAATACAAATGCAATTGCTATTCCACAGCCTAACGGACACCCTGTCAGGACTTATTCCTGGCCATGCTCTGATGAACCCAAATGCCTGCGAAGACCTTCAGTTAAGCTTATGAGGGATGATTCAAGCTGTCATGATACTTCTTGGTGACTTGACTCCAGTTCAGATATAAATGCCAAGCCTCTGATAGCAGTCTTTTATACTTGGCTAGAAAATGCCTACTACAGAAAAATTCAAAAGGAAATAATAAGAGCCCAAGGAGTCAGATATTCATCCAATTCAGAGCTGGAGATTTTAATAGCAGGTTCTCCTGTGAGATTTTCAGCATTTCAGGCTTCTAATCCTTTAAAGTCTGAAGCAGCTGCATCTCAAAAAAAGAAAGAAAAACTTACAACTAACTAACCGGAAAAAAAAAATTATCCAGGCTTGTTTGAACTCCAAACACTTTGTGATTTGAGCTGGCAATGGAAGCTTGGCTCAGCTCTTGCTGTGTTTGATTCTCAGGTTCCATCTGCAGCATTGTTCCGCACCACCTGGGCCGGATCTCCGCAGGGACGGAGCTCACCCTCACCTTCACAGGGACCGAGCTCCAGCAGCTCCTGCTCACTCCCAGGGAAGCTCCCAGGACTCATCCCCTCTTCAAAATCAGGCCTATTGTATCTGAGCAATCAAGAGCATTCAGGCTGAAGCACCGTTCAAAACGCACACCTCAGTACATCACCATCTCAATAAATTCTGCCTTTCTCTTTTCCAGCAACTGCTTGCGATAGCTGGCTTGGCTTTCACGGTTAGGAAGGCCGCTGACTGTCCAGCCTGTTGCTGACATCCAGAGGGAAGAGCCCAGCAGGGAACACGCGAACACCTAATTTCCTCCCTCAGAAGACTTGTGGTGGAAAGGTGCAGAAATGAGGCTGGCTCTTCAGGAAGGGGAAATCAGACGGGTAGTTGGGAGAAGGAGAGAAGGAAAATCATCAGGAGGGAAGGGGCTGTTAAAGTCTAACTCAAGGAAAATTTCAGAGCTGGGTTTTTACTCAAGTCTGTTGGAAATTGCTGGTTCAGTCAAAAAAGGACTAATGACGTTAAATCCACTGATGTGAGCCACCTCTGTCCCATTCTCTTTGCTGAGGAGGATGAACACTACTGACTGGTTTTAATATCTCTTGGTTTTCTTTTTAAGGAGGCAGCAACCTAGAAAACGAGAATGTAAAAATATAGGCTGCATTTAGATTTCTGTGACTATGCAAGTCATTACACGTGGACCATGTGGGACTCTGAGTATCAGGTATACACCACAGCTATTGTAACTGTACATATAGATCAAAGATAGAGGTGTCTTCTTTTTCATGCACCTCCCAGAGCAGACTGCTAACCTGTTTGTTGTCTTTCTTTCTTGTTTTGCTTGTGGAAGCTTTGTGAACATTTCTGAGATTGAAACTCAGTTAATTTGCAGCTCACTTTAAAAAGAAAAAATTAACCTGCCTAAAAAGAAGAAGAAGAAAAATATGAAGTCAATTGGAGAGCTCTCCAGTGCTAAGGAGAGCTGGCTACTCCCGCCAGCACCGTCCCCTCCTAACGCCCCGCAGTGCCTGCTCCGGCATTGCTCCCGTCTGCGCTGGGTTGGGAAAGTAAAGCCACGCAGCAGCAGGACACTGCTCACGTGCGCACACAGCACTAAATCCAACCAACGGGCTTCTAACAGACAGTAATTGTTTCTAAAACATGAGGAGATTGTGTCCATTTTTAAACTAATAAGTTTACAGGTCTGTTAGTTTTCTTCTGCAGAGGCAGGGTACACTTTTACAGGTTCTAATGTTGTGGATGCTCTAGTCTGTTTTCACCCAAAACCTGGCCAAACCATTAAAGAACAGATGAAGCCATGCAAGCCTACATGACAGAGAGCTATTTTCTCAGTGATGTAAGGACACCTTGGTACCACGTCACAAAAGAAAACCTGGCACCAGGTTTAAATCTCTATCTTCAGAAAACAGTTGGTACTGCAGCTTTCTTTTCTTCATTACATTAAACACGCAAGTAATTATTAGCTTCTCCTGTAGTTTCCTCACAACAATGGCAGAGCATGGATTTTGCTAAGGAAGTATCCACAGGATGCCCCTGGTTCAGGGATGACACCCTGTCACTAATCAATCTCCAGTAATGATGTGCAGAGAAAGATGTGTGCTTGCCCATCACCGTGGCACGTGGGCCTCCTGCCTCCACCCTGAATTACTGCCTTTTATTTTCCTGCATTCTTCACTTCCCTAATTATAACATAATAAAGCAATACTACCGCAATTACTAATAAAGGGACCCTTGCTAAAGGACAACCCCCCAGCTAGCAAGCGGTCGCTGTAGGGAGCTGCTTGCCTGCAGCACACAGAGCCAGAGCGAGCGACTGCTCCGTGGGCCTCTCCCTTGCTAGCACCAGCCCGCGTGCCCGGAGCAGCTCCCTACACCAGTGTGAGCAGAGCGTCAGGCCTCAGCAGCGGCATGAGCACAGGACTGCTCAGCCGTATGAGACAGCACTGCTTTTCAGTTCCGTGAGGCTCAATGGTTTGGGCTCGGAAATCGCCCAGCCAACGTGCCTAGCACGCCTTCCTCTCCAAGCAGTGGGCTCCTCCACTCCACCCCAGCTGCCTCGGGCAGCCGGTCCCCCCTCTCTTCCCTCTAAACCACAATCACCAACCCTTCCCGAGTCTCGGCTCCTAATGCAACTCTGCCAGTCCCAGCCTCCCTCCTCCCCAAAACTCCTCACCCATCAGGGGACTACATCTGCATGGACAGCACAGCGAGAGGCAGGCAGAAGTACCGAAGTCCCTGAACAGCTTTAAAGCAGCCATCTCAGGTAGCCGTTGCTTTCTAGCTCACACTGAACTCCATGATGCTCCAGGCAGTGTTCTGTCTCTGGCACCGCAAGCAGTCCCTCAGGTCCCCAGAGTGGCACTCCCCTCCCTGTGTGTCTCGACTCAGTCTTCCTCACCAGGCTCCTCATGCACACACGATTCAGCCTCCCGAGTCTGGTTCCCGGCCTGCTCTCTCCTCCCCGCTCGTTCCTTGTTTCCTTGCTTAGACAGGTCCGATTCTCTCTGACTTCACCTTTGAGCCTCTCTCAATTCGCCACTCCACTGGCTCCTTCCCTCTTGTGTTAATCTGTCAGTGGGCATAAAGGCAGCAGGGAGATCAGGGAGAAGGAGGTTGCTGTACGTCAGTGGTTAAGCGGAAGCCACCGTTCTCCGAGGCTCTCCGGCCAGCACCACCCATCCGCACTGCAGCCTCGCGCGTTCCAACATTCAGAGGAGCAACGAGTTGCGGAGGGCCCCCAGCCTCGCAGCTACCAGCGGGAGGCAGGCAGCACTGATGATGCACATCAAGCATGGTAAAACTGAAGTATCTGGAGTGCCTGGCTGTCTATCATAGGATGTCTGCAGAATTTCTCATAGGCAGCGTTTACTCAAGAGCCACGCTCACGAAACGCAAAAAGCTAAGTTCCTGTAGGGCATTCTCGTTGTGCATCCCGTGTTTCCCCGTATTTTAGTGAGGGCCAATCCTGCCCGGTGCCAGCACCCAGCACGCTGCCGACTGACCTGATGAGCAGCGCCCACAGCATCGGGAGAGAACTGAGCAGCACCCTGCAGGATCTGACCGCTGGACCGCAGGCTCCTGTTAGCAGAGAGGGATTAGTTCGTCCCTTGTGTCTTGTTCTGTATTGAACGTTCACTTGGCATTAAGAAATGACAAGAATATACCTGAAAGCTGGTGGCAGAGTTCAATCCTCGACATTCTAGCAGACTGGAAAATGCTGATACTGAACACTGGTACGGCAGGGAAGGCAAAGCAGCTGCCAGCCACGAAGTTTCCAGTTTGTGCTTTGTACTTAGAGTAACAGGAATTTTTAATCATCTTGTTGCCCACAGAAAATTCATGAGGGGGACTGTACCTTTCCCCACATAAGAGAAACAACCCTCACACGGAAAAAAAGACTTCCCTCTAAGGGCTATTTCCATGGTAACTTGTAAGTTCAAAGCTCAGGCTGTTTTGGCTGCAGGGATACTGAAAAAAGGTAACAAGATTGTTTGTTGTTGTTAATAATGGGAAACCATCATCACTGTCCTCTCATGCAAATCAGGCTGGATTGTTTTAGTTTAAAACTTCCCCAAAGCTGGCAAAGAACAAGCATGAAAAATTTCACCCCAGCAGGTAAAAGAGTAAGAAAGCTGAGAGTGACTGAACATCAAAGAATTTAGAATAGAAACTTATTCATCATGTACCCTTGTAGCCCACAACCAGCATCCCAATATATCCATGCAGCCCTTTTTATCCTGACAAAATTCAAAGTGGGTCACAAGTTCTGTAAGCACATACAATTTTTATAGACAATTACATTCCTCTGCTTCTGCAGTGGTTAAGCAGATATCACAGCACAGAACAGCCCCTGCCGAAATGAAGACGAGAGATTTTGAATCGGGAAACAAATGGCCCCTGGGACACCCCCAGACACACAGGCAGACCCTGCACAGGGACCCTGCATTTAGCTTCCAAGGGTTTACCCCTGCTAAGCGAGGCAGTGTAACCCTCTGCAGGGAAAAGCAATACCGTGCAGTGAACAGCTTTAAGCATTTCTTGGCATTTGAATACCTCACTTAGCAGGTGTCTGTAGACACTTAATGTGGAAGATGGGAGGAAATAATTGCATCCCCTCATCTTTACTGAGGTACATTTTATTATGATGAACTCTGCAAAGTGCTAAGCACATGCTTAAAGCCTATCTGAGGCTGCTTTTTCCCATAGCAACACATAATAAAAGTTAGTATTTAGTCCAGCCTAATAGTGCTGAGGTTGAACGCGCGAATAAACTGCAGCTTGCCTTAAGGCAAACATAGCTTTGGACTTGAAGTATCACTTCAGTGCTTTGAGAGTCCAAACCAAGACAGCGCATCACTCACCTCTGGCTGTCTTTTGAAGGGTTTGGGGCTGCTCAGTATTTTCTAGATTGCGCCCACGGATTTATAGGATTAGGTCTCATGCAGTCAGCCAACCTCACATCTGCAGAGCTGAAAGGCAGCAGGGCAAAACGCATATCTCAATGCGCTGAGTAGCATTTGGAAAGGTCTCTAGTTCTAAGCACAGATTTCATTTAACAGTTCTGAATCCAAGGATCTCTTTAACCATGTTTGCCAAAAAGGCAGTTAAAAAATGATACATGAATGGTGACTGACCGGCAAAGGTGACGAGCGCTGATGTCTTTGGCAGGTTGAAGTATGACTCAAGTGAACCTATGAAACAGTAAAACATAAATGTGCAAGCTGTTATCTAATATTAAAACAAAAAACCATCAGAAGGGAGATAATTTTGTGCAAATGTTTCTACAAGTTTTCATCCTCAGACAGCTGCCCTCTACAATCAATGGCAACACTCATAAAAAATTGTGTGGGGACCAGCTTTTGTGTACACCCAGGAACACGTTTTGGAGTCTTCAAGCAAGCTGCAAATAGTGCTACAAATTATCAGGATATTGGTCCAAAAGATGTTCCCCCAACTCCCTGCTTTCCAAAGGGCTCAGTTAGCAACAATTTTCTTCCTCACTGCAGTCAAGCACAGGCTAAGGATGCTTCAGACATGGATTCTGCTAATATAGCAAGTCATCAGATCTGTAAGGGACTAAGAAAGACCACAAATGGTCTGGCTTTATTTTTAGTTCAAAGACGAACCACTCCTGTCCTGCTACGGGATCTTTGTTACACTGCAGGTTTCTCCTGTGTACAGGAAAGTTTTGAGATCTTAAAATAGGCATTTTGTCCCCTGAAACATGCTTTATAATTCACGGATTGCACTTCTAAAGACCCTTGAAAATTTTCAGCCTCTAGGTGTTCAACCCCGGAGAAAGAAATTAGACCAACCTAGAGCTTTCAAAATTATTTTTCCCACATTTTCAGACTAGTCGTCTTCTTTGTATTGATGTAGTTGATTATCCATGTTAAATAAGGTAAAAATTACCTTGTTACCAGTTTGCACCGATTACACTTCAGAGCCCAATGGTTATCCCTGTATTTTCTTTCTGCTCTGGAAATTTTATTTCTCACTTGTCATCCGTGTGCTGTCCTCAGCTCAGTCCCCAGCTCCCACCTCTGACACTTCAGCTACTGACAAGGCGCTGCAGGAACGAAGCTTTGGTACCAGCTTTGGCTGCCCTGGGCTTTCGGCATCCCGCGCTCCTTAGCCTCGCTAACCGTGCCGTGCTGGCGGAAACACCTGACCACGAGCGGGAGATGTGCCATCTCCAGCGGGACCCAGTGCCTGCTCCCTGCAGGAACATGGAGAGAAATGAGGAAGGCGGAGCTGCAGTAGCTGCAAATGGTTTTCAATCAGTGGGTCCTTCTTTGCTGCTGTAAAGAGAGGGGATTAGAGGCAGGTCACAGGCCGAGAGATAAAACCTCCTGCCACAGGAGCTTAGGCAGCGGCCCGGGGGGGAGCAGGA